GAGCAAAGCGTCTGTTCTGTGTTTAGCGACGCCTGCAGGCTGCTCACACATTACTGAGGTCCAGACCACCTGAACCCTGGATCACCTGGAAGCAGAACAAACAGGAAGCGTTCATCCCTCATGGGAGCAGAGAGGAAACCTGACATGAACATGCAGCATGTGAGTGTGATTATAAAGCCTGAGTCATCTGAACCCTCTCCTCCGTCTGCAGGAGGACCTGAGCTCCTACTTCCTGCACTCTGGTGGCTCCTCGCCAGCCTCACTTCCCGCCCACCTGGAAGCGCTTTGGGATTCTCTTTTCTTTCTCTTCCTTCAGTGTAGATCTTATTTATCACCAGCAAAAACCCCCTTAAGGCCAGCCACAAGTTTCTGTGCAAAGGACGGCTTTTATTTTGGAGAAGCAGCAGCAGCAGGTTTACGGATCACGTTTCTGACCTTCATGTGTTTAGTTCTGCAGCTTTGACTTTATTATGTTTTTATTTCAAGGTGAGGCACTCGAACAGCAGAGGACAGGAAGTGGTCCCTCTGCGGTTATTCTCACAATCTGAATAAACAAACAAACTAAAAACAAAAAGCCGTTAGTCGCACCTTCAAGTCCCGAAAATGAGCCTCTCAGCTCCCAGACGAGGCGCCGCTGATCAGAACCTCGGCTCAGAACAACAGGTGGAGTCTCACTTATTAACGGTGTGAACCCAGAAACCCGTCTGTGGTTCTGAAAATGATTCCGTTTGTCAGAACCAGAAGCTGTAGAGACAGAAACGTCCCAGTGGTCCTCGAACTAATCAGCTGCTGCGTCTAAAAATCTTAAAGTCGCAATATTTCATCTAAATCACAACTTATTTACAAATTCTCATTCGCAGCAACTAGATTCTGTAAAAAACTAAAAAATTCTGCAACCTGGAACCCATTTGGGACTCAGCTGTGACCAACATGCATGAAAATAATAAATAAAAATAAATAAAATAAATAATAAATAAAAATAATTTAGGATATATTCAGAGCAGAGAGAAGAAATGAAGTAAAATCTGATTAGTACAATTTTTTTATTGCTTTTATTATTATTTTTTAAATTCAATTCAATTCAATTCAATTCAATTTTATTATAATTTTTTAATATCTATGTATTTTTACAGGCATCTCATCCTTTTTTAAAAAATGCCAAAATTACACTATTTATTACAATCTGCACAACTTTCCAAATGTCTACAAACAAATCATGTTTGACTTTCTGGAAAATTCACCAAAATGTGATATTTCACAAAATACCTTTTTTCTATTTGTTGCATTGAACGAATTGTCAAAATAAAAGCATCTGAACGAACCAGATCTGTGAAAAAAAAGTAAAAATTCTGCGCTTGTTGCCACAGCTGTGAATCTATTTATGATTTAGTTGGGATCAACAGTCATTCAGTGAGTTTTCGGCTGAACTGCAGGTTGTGTTCACACTGAACAGAGAGTAAATGTAAATAATATAATATCTATAGGATGTAGAGTTAACATTTTCCCCCCAGTGGTAACAACATCTGTGGACATCTGGAAAAATGTTGAACGTGTTGATTCTAGATGTTTTAGCTGTTTTAAAATATAATACAGGCATATTATCTAATAAAAAATAACTAAAATGACATCATTTATCAGCGTCAGAAACTGTAAAAACTGAAAAATTCATCAGATTTTCATCTTTCCAACAGTTCTTGAACTAATCGTGTGCGATGCAACGTTCTGTCGGGAAAATTCACCAAATCTAAACCTAAAATATCGACATTTCATTAAATTTCCACGAGTCTATTTGTTGCATTTGAAAACAATGTCAAAATAAAAGCATCTGCACCAACCAAGTTGTAAAAAACTAAAAATTAAGCGCTTGTTGCTGCAGCTGTGACTCCATTTATGATTTAGCTTCATGTGAAATTAGGGAGCTCTCGGCTGTTTGGAGACAAGCATGGAAACAAAGTGAAAGTGGAAATATTAACATATCTTTTAATTGTTAAGCATTATTGCTCAGACGTGTGGACACTTGGAAAAGTATCGGACATGCTGATATCTGGTTCATTTAATTTTTATATGATAAAATATCAAAGAAATTCAACTTTCATTTTAACATTTCTGAGTCTCTCTCCTCCTCGTCCTGGTTGTTCTGGTTCATAGAGGTGCAGGACTTTTACTTTGAAGGGAAAACTGCTCCGTGACGTCCACCTTTATCCTCTGAGGTTTGCTTTTCTTGTTGCTGCTGAAGCGTTTGGTGTCGAAACGCCAACATCCAAAGAAGTCTTGAGAATAAAAAACTTGGGGAACAAGTTCATCACGTCGGCCGTAAATCTCTCCTGATGGTCCATTAAATACAGATTCCAGCTCTCGGCCCGCGGATTGGAAAAGACGGAGGTTTTATTGTGTGTGTGAGTGATGCCAGCTCGCTAATTAACCGACTGCTGGATGCTTTTATTTCTTGGAGAATGTCAGCAGCTAAAACGAACGTCGCCTCCCGAACATGAAGCGCATCGTCGTGTCCTCGGAGCTCCACTTCTGGCAGACTGAACATTATCTCCATCACACCCCGGCTATCTTTAGGAGCCCCATAACTTATTTAATCCACCCAATTCTAAAATTATTGGGAATAATAATTAATAATGGATGATTTTTTTGAACAATATCTGGCTCAGTTTCTCCCACAGTCGTCCTTTTCATGAGTTTTTGTGCTTCCGCTCGCACATCTTTTTTTCTTTCTGTTTTTAATGAATTCAGGAACGTCAGAAACAAACAAGACTGATGCCATTCTGAGACTCGCTCTGTTGTTTGTGGCGGCGCGCTAACGTGCTACGGAGGTGTATTCCTGACTGAAGAAGGCTCAGAAGAAGCTCTCCGGTCTCCTAATGAGGAAGTCGAGCAGACACGCCTGAGAAATGAAGACTTCATGTGAAGGTTAAACCTCACGCTGAGACTTTAGAGCCTGAACAGACGCACAGCTAAAGTTTCTGTTTGCTTTTAAGGACCATGTATACGTCGGATGAATCTGGAGTTTCCAGTGACTCTGACTCTTCTGCGATGGAATCAAGGTGAGGCCTTCAACCCCAACAACACCAAACCTACTGTCAGCATCATGCT